GGGAGCCCCCAAACATCTGTGTTAGGGCACCCACAGCTGGGTCTGCCCTGGCCTGGGAAGAGGGGACCCCCAGCCCAGTGCAGGGTGAGAGTGTTTGCAGGGTTTTTATCATGAGAGTGCTAATGGAAGTCAGCACCAGCCTAATGAGCTGTACTCCTCCATGAATCTGATTCATTGAGGCAGGAATTACCATAATTGATTATCCTGCTGCGTGCCTGAGAGCCGTGTTTGCTAACAGAGTGCCTGGGAGCAGTGTCTGTGCTTCCTAAGCCGTCAGACCGTCCCTGGGCTGGGTGCTGCTGGGGCCAGTGTGGGCTCAGAGCAGCCCCCAGGCACCCCCAGGGTCCTGAACCCCCCTTGGGACCCTCACCTGGGGCCGCTGGCCCTGCACTGGGGGCTGAGCAGCTCCAGAGCTGCTGGGCAGGTGGGACCCAGCCCATGCCAGCCTCCAAAGCACAGCAACAGGCACACACAGCCCCCCTCACTCTTCAGCCACTCCTGGGATGTATCAGCCATTCTCATTATTCTGAGGGTCTAACATGATTGATGAATGTTTGCCTTGGCCACGCTGCAAAAGCCAATTAGTTGAAGTGCAGCTTTCAGGAAGTTTTCTTTGAAATTTGGCTTAATTTCCAAGAAGTGCCCAGAGCCAGGAGAGCAGCAGCGTGCTGCAGGGGCTGCTCCTCTGTGTCCCTGTGCTGCTGCTCTGGGCTGAGGGCTTGGGATGCACCAACCCAGATGTGCAGCCAGCACTGGATGGCAGCTGTGCCCTGTGGGGTGTGTGGGGCTGTGCCTGCAGGGCTCTGGGGCCCAGGAAGGGACCCCTGCTCTGTGGGAGCTGGGTTGGGTTCCAGGTGCACTGGTGGAGCTGAAGGGGGGGATCCTGTGCCCCCCACCCCGGGCATGGTGCTGCTGGGTGCTTGTCACCGTAAGACATGAAATAACACGACACAGACACGCTGCTGTTTCCAAGGTAAAAAGGGGAGGCTTATTTTTTTACTCTAACACTTACAGATCTCCAAAAGTGACAGTGGATTGGAGGGTGACAGTGCCACCTCTCCAATGGACAAACCAACAGCCCATCAAATTTCTCCTCCTCCATAAAAGAATGCAAAACAATAAGTTATTTACACAAAGCGTGTGAGAAAGTTCATTACAAGAATGCAAGCATCAGAAGGCTTAGAAAATCTTAAAAAACCAGGGTGGCAGGTGCTGATGCTGCTTGGCTGCCCTGGGCTGAGCCCCTGGCCTGGCCAGCACAGGCTCCCCAGGGCCCAGGGAATGTCACTGACATCCAGCTCACATCCCAGCACTGAGCAGACATGGGCAGGCAGCACTGACTGTGACAGGTTAGTGATGATGATGATGATGATGATGAGCATTGATTTTAACTCTTCCTCCCCTTGCCTGTGTTTTCCAGAGCGCCCCGTGCGAGCGCCGCGGGAGGAGCTGGGCCCAGTAAAAGGTACAGAGGGTTGGGGTCCCAGCCGGGGGCTGCCTTGGCTCTGCCCTGGCTGCTCCCGGGGTCCCTCCTGCATCCAAACCTGCGTGTGTGGGG